CTAGAAGTAGGAGTATACAGGTTTGATTCAGGGAATAGCTACGTCTGGTGGGATCAGAACTCTGGGAGGGCAATAGGAGTTCCACATCGACAGTGAGGGGTGTCTCGGGGGCCACAGAGCCCCAGGAGCATGAAGCCCAAGGTAGAGGGCATGCCTGCCTGGGGTTGGGTCAGGAGGTTGTTGGGGGCTCAGGCTAACACCCAGGAGTAAGGCCTACCCAGGAACAGGGGGCAGGCCCCTCGGCCTCCCTCCCCAAACCTATCAGCTATTTCTCTACACTAGTCCTGGGCAAAGCAGGCATCACCTCTTGACAGCACCCACCCATCTCCCATTCCATCCCCTAGGGAGAGGTGAGGTGCTCCCCCCCCGCCATCCCAGACGGGCCTCTGCTGGGCCTCTCATCCAGCCCACAGGAGGTACCTGCCCTGTGTCTCCCCTGCTAGCCGTGAGTTCCGGAAGATGAGGCAGGCTGGTCCAGATCCAGTCTCCAGCTTCCAGCAACGGTGGGACAGCTGCGGGGTACACGCCACCTTCACACACGCACCCGTGAACGAGCGATAGTGATGTCGTTCGGGCCGCGAGGATTCTGACCGCCTTATTTTATGAACGCAGCTTCAGGGGCCCAGGGTGAGACAAGATTACCCAGTCATAGGCATGTTGGGAGCTGAGTTTAAGGGAGAAGTTTGGTTCGTAGCAGCACTGTTCATAATAGCCAGAAGGTGGAAGCAACCCAGATGTCCATGGCTTGATGAATGGAGAAATAAAATGTAGTATATCCGCACAGCCGAATGTTATTCAGCCATAAAAAGGAATGAAGTACTGATCTGTGCTCCAACCTGGGTGAACCCAGAGAACATTATGCTAAGTGAAAGAAGCCAGACCCAAGGCCACGTAGTGTATGATTCTGTTTATGTGAAATATCCAGAACAGACTAACGCACAGGGACAGGAAGCAAATTAATGATTGCCAGAGGCTAGGGGAGGGGAGAATGAGCAGGGGCTCCCTCGTGGGTAGGAGGTTTCCTTGTGGGGTGATGAAAATGCTCTGGAACTAGAGAGTGGTGGCAGTTGCATGACACTGTGAATATATTAAATGCCACTGAATTGTACAGTCTCAAAATGGCTAAAGTAGTGAATTTTATGTGAATTTTAGCACAATTTAGGAAAAGAGAGTAGTTCAGGACCAGATGAGATAGCACCGGCCAGGTCTACCATCTGCTCCTCGAAACACGTGCCACTGGCCCCCCTCCTAGTATAGGTCTCCCCTCCTCCCCAGGCCAGGGGTGGAGAGCCTGTGGCACCTCGGTTCATGGCAAGCCCTAAGGTCAAGTGGAAGAAGGCAGGATTTCTGACACTGAGGCCTCCTTCTTGCTGATTCACCTCTGGTCGAGGCCTGGCCCCCGTCATTTCCACATCCCACCCACCAGCCTGCTCCCTTCAGTACCAAATGTTCCATACGTCTCAGACCTCTGTGCATTGCTTTTGCTGTCTGCACCGTGAAGGAGGTTCTTTCCCTTGTCACCCCTCATCCATCTAGAAACATCCTTTAAGAAGCAGCTCTTATCTTCCCCTTGCAGAAGATCCTTCCCCCTGCCACCCTGCACCCTGCCCCTCACCACAATCTGAGCTGAGCTCCCCAAGGTATGGCGTGAATACGTCGATCAGAGCAGGTGTGGGTGCAGTGGTGTTTGCGTGTGTGTCTTCCTGAGACGACTGGCAGCTGTGCAGGGAGGGGCCTGGCTTGTTCGTCATTGGATTCCTAGGACAGCTCTGGTGCCTTGCTCACAGGCGGTGCTCAGCGAACTAACGCTTGTTGAATGAGGCAATGGCTTTGGGAAGCTTCTGTCCCCGCCCAGTTATTCCCCATCAATGAGGGAGGGACAGGCTGGGTGATCTCCGAGTCCTTTTATCTCTGGGGTTCTCTGGTTCTAAGAACAGCAGTGGGGGGCCCGCCCAGTCAAGTGGCTGCATGTTCTGCTCCCGCCGCCCAGTGCATAGAAATCCAGGAGAAAGAGGGAGCCTGCAGTAATCCACTGCAAGCAGCTATTTCTGCTCTTGGCGGGGAGGAGAGAGGGCAGTGTCCAAAGACTGGGCTTCTCCCTCCAGCCCGAAAGGACCATCTCTTCTCTTTGGAAATCTAATTAAAACCCTTCCCTGAACAGCCTCGCCATGCAGGTTTGGGCTGAGGTGGCCTGGAGTCCCTACAACGACAAAGCCGAGCAGCGGGCTCTTGCTCCATTTTCCTCTGCAGATGAGAGGTGCTACTCTTTCTGCTTTTCTGATTATGAAATTAGTCATTTTCTAGGAAGCTTATTTATAGAGTCCGCTGCACACATGCAGCGCTGAGCTATTCTGAACACGGCTTGGGGCCTGGGAGGCTTAAGGTGTGAAAGCAGCTGTGAGTCACACACGGGTCCCCTTCCAGAGGTATCTAGATACCTTGGTTACCTTTCTGCACCCAGCCAGGAGCCAGCCCTCATGGGCTGCTCTCCAGCCAGGGTGCTCTTTACAATAAGGACAGAAAAAGCTCAAGATCCCAGTCCCCATGGCCACCAGCTGAATATAGTACCTGGAGCAAGTCAGACCCCCCACTCAGTGCCCCATTTGCCTCCTCACCTAAATGAGGGGCCTTCCGGATGTGTGATTCTGTGCCTGCTCTGGACAGCAGCTGCAGAGGCGGGTTCCAGGTGGCTTCATAGAGACCTGCCCATGAGGCAGCTCAGAGAGTGGCCATGTTTCAGGCTCCTGATGTTGTTTTCCAGAAAATCAGGGCGACATTCATTTATTCAACGAGTATTTGTTTATTTATTTATTGAACACCTACTACGAGCCAGGCGCTATACAAGGCTTTGAAGATACAATGGCGAATAAAACTGAAATGGAGCTTATCATCTAACGTTAAACAACTGCATACATTAAAATGAAATTTCAAACTGTGTCGAGTGCCATGAGTAAAAAGTGCTAGGAAATAGAGCTGGAGGGCTTTCTAGGCATAGAGAAAAGCATATGTAGAGACACTGTGGAGGAAGGAGCCTGTCCGGTGTAGCTGGAGGTCAGAGGACAAAGGGAAAGGGGATATGCAATAAGGTTGGGGGATATCCTGGAGTCAGCCTTACAAGACCCAGTAAAGCAGGTTAAAGCATTTCTGTGTTCTAAGTATAATAGGATGCCACTTAAGTAATTTTTTAAAGGAGGTTATATGATAAAATGTTGAGTTTTGAAACAATTGTTTCTAGCTCAGGCCTGCGCCGTCCAGTTGTGCAGGTTGTAAACCGCACACCCTGTGAAGCCAGATGTATTGGAACCACATGAAGAATGTTTTAGGGGCCAGTCTGAGTGAATGCCAGAGACCAGTTAAAAGACTGCCAAAGTAATCTAGGCAAGAGAGGCTGGCATAGACCAAGATGTAGGTGGTGGAGAGGGAGAAAAGTAGAGGGATTCAGGAGACATTTAAAGGGCCTTGAAGATAGCAGCCTTCTCTCTGCAAGAGAGCTACGCTCCAAGGATTGGGATTCTCAGAGCCCCTGCCAGTCAGAGTGAGGAAAAGATAAAATAATGCAATGCCAGTTGAGAACAGAAAATGTCAGAGTGAAAAGGGTCGCCCCCTTAACCCTGCCTGTCTATCCGTAATCATTTCAGATCTGCAGCAGGGCCTCAAACGGACCTCAGGACCAGTCTGAGAGACAGGATTGCAGAAATAGTGGGCAGAGAGGTAGCTGACCTCTTGGACTTCATGGAAGCATTATCCTGGCAGTGCTGTACTCAAGTTTGTTTGAGTTGCTAATTTCAGAAATCAGATCCTACTGGCCTAAGCTAAAATGTTGGAATTTATTGGAAGGATCTAGGGGCATCTCGTGGTTTTGGTAGACAGACTCAAGACCCTGGATGGGCAGGAATGAAGCAGCCCCCAGGCCCACAGCAGCAGATGTTTTTGGACCTCCCCTCCAGGACACTGTGGCTACCATGATTCAGAGCCAGCAACCGCAGGCCGCAGAATGCATTTGAAAAGTGCAAGGGAGAGGAAGCGATGGACCCAGCCTGGTGGGTGTGTCTAGCCCTTGATCCATTAGCTACTGCCAGGGGTCAGAACGTGAAGGGCAGCGAGCTCCGCTGGAACCCATGTTTGCATGTCAGGCCATTCCCAAAGCCTGAGGAAGCTCTGTGAATGGCACAGTTGCCCCCAGGGTATATCTACTCTGCAGACACTTCTGGGGTCTAGCTGAGCTCCAGCAACCTTTTTCCAGCTTATGGGGTAAAGGAGAAAAGCTAGGCCCCAGTGTAGTCCTGGAAAGTGCCCTGATCGGCTAGAAAGAGGGCTTTCTGATATCAGAAAGAAACAGAACATTTAGAGCAGGCAAAAAAAATTATACATATATATACTTTTTCTAACTATTTCTGGGGAAGAGTTTTGCATGCCACTTTCTACTGCCCGGGGCACAAGGTACTTGCCGCCCCTGAGGATCTGGGCACAGCCTCTGTGGGACCCAGGCCCCTCTTCTTGCTCTTGTAATTCAAATCCACATGAACTGGGAGGCCGGACAAGACATCAGTCAGTGAGAGCGTACGCGTGGAGTCCTAGACTGTACTTCCATATCCAGCTCCACCCTAATGAGCTGTGTGACCTTCGGCCAGTTACTTAACTTCTCTGAGCCTGTTGGTTGATCCCTAATCCACAGGGTCACAATGAAGACTTAGTGCAATAAAGCATGTAAATGCTTTTGCACACAGTAAGCCCTCTCTCCATGGCAGAGGGCACAGTGCTGATGATGGTTGTAGGGCTACTGCTGTTCATTATGGGGCATGGAAAACCGCCTGCAGAATCTGTTCTTGCCTCTGCAGCTTGACCCTTCTGCAAGTTGGTCCTTCTCCTCAGGCCCCGCAACCCCAATGAGGCGCTATTCAAGGGGGCCCAGTGCAAGCAAGAAGCCTTTTTATCCTTGTTCAGGGCTCTGCCTTGATCCCAGCTCCATGGCATCATCTGGCATTTTTCATCCACTGCAGGAGTGAGAGAGAAAAGCACGCAGCCGATGACTCCGAGGGAGGGATCCTGGACATGTGCTGTAGCGAGAGGCTGCCGGGTGAGTCTGCCCAGCACCCAGGGGTCCCCGAGCTCCCATGGCACGCAGAGAGCCCCGGATGGCATGGGCTGGAGTGGAGCCCGCTTAGCTGTGAACTTGCTCAGGAGGAGTGACTCAGCTGCTCACGAGGTCTTCATTTAAATGAGGATTTGTTTTCCTAATCCCTGGTGTCTTTCTGACCTGTTGTCATTTGAAGCTGCTCTGGGCTCGCTGGGAGGGAAGAGCAGGCCACTGAGGGTGTGCCGGGAGGGTGGAGAGCAGGGTGATGGGGAGTCCAGGGCTGGTGGGCCATGACTACTGACCAGCGGTGTGTGGGGCAGAGTCCAAGAGATAAGGCAAGGGGACACGAGGGTGGGTGGGTGATGTGGAGAAAGTACTTGACTTTCAGCCCCATAGGGAGCCCCCGGCTGTGAGGGTCAGACTGTGCCGCTTGAGTCTGATTGACCGTACCCGTGGGGAGCGTGGCTGGCCGTCAACACAGAGACATTACCCTGGCACTCTTGCCTATGGGCTGACAGCATGTCCCAGCTGTAGACTGAGGACCCAGGTCATGGAGAGAAGAAGGAAAGGAGGATAGAAGTTTTCAATACTCGTTTTCTCTTTATAAACGTTTGTGTTTTTTTTTCTTTACAATAAATACCTATCATAGAAATAATAGAAAACAAGAAAAATGAAAAAAAATTTTCATAATCCCATGACACAATATTCATTTTCACCTTTCCTTCCAATCCTTTCTGTTCAAAAACAGCCTTTTGAATGTTGACTTTGAAGTCCCAAACCTGTAGCTTGTCAGAAACCTCGTGATTGGCGAGGAACCTTAACAGGGGTTTAAAGACCAGTGACGGTCTTTAAGACAGGCACTGAAAACAACTCGGCATGACTCTAAAGCGATGACTCTTTAAAATAAGTAGGTATTTTACTCCCAGGGGTAACCAGGGCCGCAGCCGCTGATGCAGCTTCTCAGGCCTCCAGGTAAGGACTGAGCCCTTTGGTGCAGTTTGTGCCATAGCCAGTAGGGGGTACCGTTGCTCAAAAACACTTTGGAAGGCCTGTTGAGCTGGTCTAGGATGGCTGTCACCTTTCAGGTGCCTGTGGGGACCCGAGACAGCGAGCTTCAAGAACAGAATTCCCCAAAGGGATGCGAGAGCTGTCTGTGAATATAGAAAAGGCTGTCCTGTGAAGGGGGCAGCAGATTCATTTGTGTGTATCTTAAGAGGCTGGCATAAATCCGATATACAGAAATTAAAGAGGCCTGTTGACACAAGGGATACAGAACTAGCTTTTTTTTTTTTAAGATTATTTTTAAGATTTTATGCATTTATTCATGAAAGACACACACACATAGAAGCAGAGACACAGGCAAAGGGAGATGCATGCTCCCTGCAGGGAGCCCGATGTGGGACTCCCATCCCAGGGCCCCAAGATCATGCCCTGAGCCAAAGGCAGATGCTCAACCACTGAGCCACCCAGGCGTCCCAAGATTGTATTTATTTGAGATAGGGAGAGAGCCGGAGGAGGAGCAGAGGGAGAGGGAGAAGCAGGCTCCTCACTGAGCAGGGAGACCGATGTGATGCAAGGCTCCATGCCAGGACTGCGGGATCATGACCTCAGCCAAAGGCAGCTGCTTAAATGACTGAACCACCCAGGTGCCCCAGAACTTTCTTTCTGAGTCTGAGAGTGGTCCACTCGTAGAACTGGATAATTCAAGAGGAAGAAAGTGAGTGTGCCATCACCGGAGGCATACAAATATTGTCTGGATAGACAGTGAAGAGGAAATTTCCACAATGGGTGGGAGGTCGAGATGACATCAAAAGTCCCTTTCAACTATTAAACGTTCCGTGATTCAGATATGAGTCATAGAATTCAGAGATGATTCTATGACCGGGGATGGCCCAGTGGCTAGAAAAAAAAACCCACGGAAAATAGGACATGATGTATAGGAGTCCAGAGAGTAGCAAAGAAGAGCAACCAGCTTTGGCATTTGAGTCTGGCGTACAGGCTCTGTGTTTATGGACAGGTCACTTACCCGTGCTGGGACTCATTTGTAAATGGAAACAACAGCAATATGAGCATTTATCCTCACAGTGATATGAATATTTCCCTTTCAATTAAATAAATATAATCACACAAGCATTCAGTCCACAAATACTTCTTGAGCACCTATGATGTGTTGAGTATTATACTAGGTGCTAGAAATATAGTGGTAAATAAAATAGACGTAGTCCTTGCCCTCCTTTGAGCTGCTTCTGGAAAATGGGGTGGAGCCACCAGAGAGAGACTACATTAATAAGAATAATGCATGAAATTTCAACCATCTCCGAAAGCCAGCAACCAACTTAGTATGGAGGAGAACCATTGGTCATCTCCAGTGGACCTGGCACACTGCCTTCCTTGTGCTAGGCACTGTCCTGTATACTCTCTCATGTACATCTCACATAATCCCATCCGTTGCCCTAAGAAGTTAGTATCATTTCCTGTCCCCCTCTTACAGGTGAGAGGACTGAGACCCAGGGAAGTGAGGGAGTCCGTCCAGGGTCACTTAGCTAGTGTTTGGTAGAGTGAGGATTCACTTTATGCCGTCTCTTTCCAGAGCACATGCTCCTGGCCACTTCCCCATTCTACCTCCATTGTCACCATGGAGCTGCCATCGGGTTTCTGGCACTGTGTAAACTGAGGCAAGAAGAGCTAAGGCGTGTCTGTCCCCAAGGAGGAGTCTGGAGGTGATGGGCAGTCACTGTGCTGTCCACATCTGCGTCCTTCCTCTGGAAAGCCCTGCCTGCCAGGGGCTAGGCAAGTTATACGCCCCTCTAGACAGCCCTGATGCCATCGTGATGTGATCTTGTAATCACGTTTTGTCTGTTTCCTCCACGGGACCATGAGTTCTGTGGAGGCAAATGCCTCTCTCTTTCATCCTCCACGTCCAGTCTTCGTTCACTCATGTCTTTGTTCACAGAATGACTGTTAATTGACTGCTTCCCAGGGCAGGGCACTCTTGTAAGCACAGAAGATTCAACAGCGAACCAGGCTGAGAAAGTTTCCACCCTCACAGGGCAGTGTTGTGCATTGATTAGGAGCAGGGACTCTGGACCTGGGCTTAGTTCTACCATTTACCCTTGTGGGGTGGGGGGCGGTGCGGTGATCACGGCAAGCGACTTAACCTTTCTGTGCCTCCCATTTACAAAATATAAGCAAGAATACTATTTACTACCACGTAGAGTTGTTGGAGGATCACATGAATTAATGGAGAGCTCAGAACAGTAGTTCTGGCACATAGGTAGTTTGATCTATAGGCATTTACTATTTAGAGAAAGACAATAAAATAAATAAGTAAAATGCTTAGGATGGTAGATGGTGGTCAGTGCCGTGGAGAAAATTAAAGCCAAGAAGGGGGAGATGGGAAAGGACTGGGGGTGTCTTGGCGTCGTAAATAAGGTGGTCTTGAAAGCTGGTAAGGAGTACACTTCCATAAATGCTCATCAGCCAGGACCACTGATGTGAGCAGCAACGTGGAGATACGTGGGGGTATAAAGGCCGAGAGAATCCGGGTGCAGAGCCTTGAGAATGAGCCCACGGACACTGCAAGCAATTGCATAATGATGGTGTAAAAATACAGCCGTCAAGTAATCTCCCCCCGCCCCCAGCTGTCTTCCCGCCGGGCGAGATGCGGTGGAGTGAGGGCTAGCCTTGCCTGAGTGACTCACGCATTCCCACACTGCCAGGCAGGGGCAGCGTGGCCAACATGCCAGGCCACGGTCACCTGGTCCTGAACCAGCACCAAGCAGGTCACATAGTCCTCCCAGATTGAGATTTCTGGGGGAATACCTCCTCCGGCATCGCCAGCACCCCCGGGCAGCCCCCAGCTGCCCCGGGACAGGTGCCCGCATGTGCTCACACACTCGTCTTAGTTCTCACTTGTCCCAGCCCCGTGCCCATGTATGCACATGTACATACCCACACGCCGCTCCCCAGGCACACGCCCCGTCTCTCTCTGCCTCATGCAGCCCCACGGGCGCACACCCACTGGAAGCTCATGCACCTGCGAGCCTCCTTCCTCTTGCGCACTCGGGATCTCTTCCCCTCATGCTGCCATCATCCAGGCCGACTTGCCTGCTCTGTCATTCCAGCTTTAGGTCTCTTTCCCTTCCACAGCCAGGCCCTTCCTCACGTACACTTCACAGACAAGTGGACACACTCCTTCCCTCCCATTCTCTACCCTTTCATTCCCCAGGCCCTCAGCTGCACTCCCAATGCATGACACTCGGTGCACACACACACACATTTTTCTTCTTCCTTGGACACACACTCTTTTACACATGGTCACTCTCCTTTTCTTCTCTTTCACTCCCCATTGCTTGCTCATTTTCTTGCTCACAGTCACCCAAACACATTTATACATTCAAACTCACACTCCCCCCGCCTCTGTGTGTAGGTGTTCATATTTGCAAGAAACCAGGCAACCCTGCCGGTGCTGGGGCCCCCGCTCCTTCCCCAGCCAGCACCACTGCAGGCCTAGCCTGGAACCAGCAGTTTCCTCTGGGGTACAGGTCAGAGGAAGGAGGTAGACAAGGCCATGGTAGGTGCTACGTGTGGTGTGACATCACAGAGTGTTGTTCACACTGTCTCTAGCTGGCAGGCTTGTGGGCTGGCCTACTCCTAACATGTGTGGAGACCAAGGCCAGACAGCGAATAAGGTCCCTGGTGTGGTGCCTCACCCTTTGCTGAGTCCTGCACTGCAAGAGCCCTCGTGTGCATGCATGTGGGCATGTCAGTCTGTGGATCCAAACTTGGTCCACATCCCACACCCAAGTGGAAGGCCACGTCCACCCTCAGAAGGGTTTACCTGCACCCATGCATGCTTCAGGACCTTTGAGCAGGGAGCTCTGGAGCCCTGGTAGCCAGAGCATGGCCTGGAAAGGGGAGCGTAGGCATACCTCCTGGCCCTGTGGACTCCTCGCCTTGTAGGGAGTGGCATGGCCAGAGCAGAAGGAGCTCAGTCTGGG